ATAAATATAAAAATCTTTCTGATTCGATATATTTATAATATCCATCAATTTGATATATGTATAAAAATTCTTCAATAAAACCAATAATATATTCTTCATTTTCATATTTAAATATGATCGTGTGATTTTTAAATTCAAATTTATGATGATATTTTTCTATCAAATTATCTTTAATAGTTTGTAAATATAAATCTTTTAAATCTTTACTTGTTTCAAATTTAACTTGTTTGTAAATTTCTTCGTTCTCACAATGATTAGACATTTTATCAATTGAAAAAAAAAATACAAATATTTTACTCAAACATCTCTTTATATATTTTTCAATAATTAATAAATAATAAATCATTTATTTTTACGTAAACTGAATAAATTATCAACCCATATCTTTGTCCATGTTCCAATCTCGTCATCATATTTTAATAAAAGTATTTTAATTTTAAACTTTGTCTTTTCCTTTTTATCTAACTTTTGCCATTCATCAATTGTATATTTAATATAATTAGCATCTTTAATTTCTTTAATATTTGCCATATTATTTTTTTTTTATAAAATATCAATCAAAAAAAAAATCCTTTATTTATAAAAATTAATCTCGTTAAGATTATTAAAAAAAAAATACAAATTATTAATTAAATTATTCACTATCTTTAATAAAAACATCAGTTATTTTCTTCCAATATTCGTAAGACTTTTCATCATAATTATTTTGATGAAAACATATCATGTTTAAAAATAAATCACAATATTGACTAATGAAAACTTTATGATTTTTAATTACTATCAAAGGAGGATCGAATATCTAAGAAGATAAAAATATCATAATCTCTCCTTTTTTAGGATATTCAATTTCATGTTCGTCTTCTTGTATCTTTTTAGAAATGTTTTTTTCATTAAAAAAAATATATTCTGATTCATATCCGTATTTCTTTTTTAAATTTAATTCCAAAGAATCCAAATTAATTCTTAATTTGAAATTTTCTTTATCCAATTCAACACGCATATTTCAAATTAAAAAAAAAAAAAATATATTATTAAAATATTTATAAACAAATTAAATTATTAATTTTACTCAATTTAGGATTATAATATCATCCTTCAAAATTTTTATATGCTCCATTCTT